GGCATCAGGAAGCCAGTCCATCACATCACGTCTGAGCTGCTGATTAGACCTCCAAGAGGACACCATTGTGGTAGCTGATAGTCAGTACCCAGGAAAACCCTGGTGAAGAGCTTGTTTTGCATATACATCTGATCATGCAAAGCGGAAGGAGAGGCCAGTGAGTTGGGAAATAAAGTTTCCAGTACAATGAACATCAGTTAGCTCTGGCTGGTGAAAGCAAACAGTGAGTCTGGAGGAGACTCTTCTGAGGTATTTACACTCGAGAACTTGGTTTTTATGAATTGGAAATGCAGCCACATAATCCCCACTTGAAAGAGGATTTGCTCCTTCTGCTCCGAGTATGTTGCTAATGGCTCTAAGAGGTTTAAGAGAGGATCTTTGGTGCCCATTCCAGCTTGGTCCTCCAACTTGGGAGGCAGAGGGCATCCCCATCTCATTCTATAACTGCTAAGACATGGCACATGCATATATGCAAATACAGGTGAGCACCTCTAATTGGGAACTTTCTGAGCACCGTCATGATATTCAAATCTTGGGATTTGGAGCTTTTCAGGTCTCAGATTTTCAGAGTAAGAATGCGCAACCTATAACATTTACGCACATATTCCAAAAATCCCCAGAACTCCTATGTCTGAAACATATCCACTCCCAAGCTCTCTTAGTTACTCTTCTCTCCTTGCTGAGACAAAATACCCAACGTCCAAAGTAGGAAAGGTTTATTTAGCTCACAGTTTGCAGAGGTTTCAGTCCATAATTGGCTGGCTTCAATTAAGGTGGTATGGCAGAGGAGAAACAGTTCAATCCATAATCAGCTGGCTCCAAGGCAGGGTGGCACGGCAGAGCGGGCACACAGAGGAGAACCAGTTCATGGCATGCAGGAGACAGCAAAAGCAGGCAAGGAAGGGAGAAGACAAGCTTCTTTCTGTCCTTTATATTGTATCCAGTGGACTGATTTAGTAATCACCCACCCTTAATCCTAGCACCGTTAATCTTAGCAGTGCACCATAAATCATTCATACACACACACACACACACACACACACACACACACACACACACACTCTGAAAAAGCCCCACCGATGACCTCATGAGGTTTTGGGGGGGACATATAAACAGAAGCCATAACACAAGCATTTCAGGTAGAGGAGAGTCAACATGCAGGTGTATATATACAGTATAAATGGAGCTTTGAAACCATACATCAGCCTTGTCACACACTTGGCTGGAATTGTGGGTCTAAGGCGCACTCTGTATCACAGTTTTGTGTATCTTGGAACAAGGCTGTGAGCACACACCATTGGATCCCACTTACTTCAAATCCGAAACACCACTGTCAGGGGTGATGGGAATGTTGAGTCCTCTCCTGGGGTATTATAATGTCTTTGTTCACAGGAAGTAGACCTGGAGACATAGAAAAAGGAAAATTAGTTTGGGGGCCAAAAACTAAGATTGAGTCCCAATTTCATTAGCTAATAGCTATGACATTAGGTAGTTATTTAATCCCTCAAAGACAATTTGTAAAATTTCTAAAATTGGAAGAGCAGTGCTTGTCTCACTGTTGTTTTGAGAGCATTAAATAAAATACTTTTTGTAAAGTCTCTGAGTGTTTAATAGCTAGTAGGGACTTAAAAATTAGCTGTCTTTACATGATTAAAATACCCCCAGAACAGCGTCATTGTCATTCAAATAAAAATGCACACCTGTGTGTGTCCAGGCTCACACACCAACACAGCAGTAGAGCTAGGTTTTCATGGAAATTCCCTGTTGGTAGCCCTTTCTAAAAACACATTTGTTTTGTACTGGGAATCAAACTCATGACCTCACGCTTGCCAGGCAGGCACTGTGCCACTGAGCTCAATCCCTGGCCCAAAACATGTATGTTTTTATGTCATTCCAGAAGTATATATAGGGGAAATATAGCTCAGTGGCAGAGCACTTGCTTAGCATGCACAAGGCCCTGGATTAGATCCTTGGCAATGGGGGGAAAGTATCTGCACCTTAGATCTAAATTAGGGTTATCAAAGAAGATGATACATAATAATTCTTGTGCATTACAGAGAAATCACTACTTTGGGGTTTTTTGGTTTAATTGTTGTTTGTATATGCGTGTATATAAAATTCAGTGGAAGGTTTTAATATATTGTCTACAACTAATATTCATTTTGGTGTACCCATCTATCTGTCATTTTTGTTGCTTCTCATTCTTACCTGAATCTTCAAAATTAGATTCAGGGTTTTCGCTTATCTAAAGAATATACTTTAGTATTTTTTGTAGTATATGTGTATTTGTTGGTGGACTCTCTTGATTACTGTTTGTCTGAAAATGTCTTTATTTTGTGTTCATTTGTAAAGCATCTTTTCATTTCATTGTAGAATTTTTTATTAGAAATACGTTGTCATTGTACTTTAAAGATACTCCATTGTCTTCTGCCTTCTGTTATTTTTGTTGAGACATAAACTCTGAGTTTAATCATAGGGTTACTTGGAGGTAATGGACATTTTATTCTTGAGGCTTTTAAGATTTTCTTATTCTCCTTGGTTTAACTGTGGCGTACCTAGCCGGTCAGTTCTTATTTTGTATGATTAGGGTTAAGCTTTCTAGAATCCATGGCCTATTACCTCTCATTCACTGGGAGTAACTTTTAGTCTTCGTTTCATTTATCACTTCCACCTCATTGTCCCTTTATCCTCCCAGGAGTCAAATTATTACTAGGCTTTCTCAAATGTCTCATTGTCTACTCTGTATTAGCCATGCTTTTGACTCTGTGCTTCATTCTGTGTAGTTTCTTCTAAAGCTCTTAATAGAGAATCCAGTTCACTAATTCTCTCTTCATCCATGTTTATTTGGTTGAAAGATCGATTGCATTTTTTTATGTTAGTAGGTATACTATGTGTATTTTTACATTCTAGAATGTATATAGATCTCTTAAAAATAGACCTAATTCTGTACCCAAACCCTCAAGTTTCTCTTTAATCTCCTTAAATAATGTAAGCAGAGCCATTTAAAAGTTTATATTTGGAGACTCTATGTATCAGAGGCCCCTGTGGGCCTTTAAAAACTTATCTCTTGCCTTTGCTAGTATTTATTCACGTTGTTTGGTTTCCTCATGCCTCCCCACTTTTTAATTGAATGGTAGTCTTTTATTTGCAAAATTGTTTGTGGAAATAATTGAAGACCTTTATCCATTTTTAGGAACTGAAGTGATTCAGATCTTAGCTTCTGACCTTAACTGGCCTGGCCTTTAAGATACAGTACTTTAAGATATAGTACTTTTTTTTTTTTTTTTTTTAAGATATAGTACTTTTAGATATAGTACTTACAGTACTTTAAGATTTAGTACTTTATATGGCCACAACCCCAAAATAGTGGGGTTCATTAGACAGCCCTCCCCTTTAGTATACCCTGAACCAGTATGTTTTTGAGATTATCAAAAGCCCACTTCATTTCACAACGGTTCTACATCAGAATGTTAAAAATAGAATCCAAGCACAAGGTTCTGGGCCATTTCCCTTGCCTGCTCTGACTCAACTTCTTTACTCCTCTTTTTTTTTTCCAGTGTGGAGTGTTTTGTATTTTGTTTCTAGATGTCCTCAGAAGAAGGGTTGATTCAAGTTACCTAGTGTCCTACATCCAGAAAGACTGTTGAGAATAGAATTTTTAAATCATTTTCTTTTTCCTTTCTAAAATAGGAAAAAATTAAATGTCCAGAAGCATTAACATGTCAAAAAATCTTAAGTGCATTTCACCCTCATGTAATGGCAACAGGAAGCCTATGGCCAGACTGCAGACCCTGACACACACCCTCTTTTTGCCTTTTTTCATACATCCCTCCTTCCACAAGTCTCTTATTTATGTTTTATCCCTGAGCTTTTTAGTGTTTTGTTTTGTTCTGTTTTGTTTTGTTCTGTTTTGTTTTGTTGACAGGGTCTAGCTGTGTAGCCCAGGCTGGCCTTGAACTCGTGGCGATCCTCCTGCCTCAGCATCCTGCTTCAGGGTCCTAGGTGCTGAGATTAGAGGCATGTGCCACCATACTCAGCTGGAGTCTCTTCTTTCAAACCACACCTCTACCTACATTTTTTCTTAAAACTCAGCCCTGAGTTTTAAGATGCATTTCCCCATCCAAGAAGGCTTCCTTCCTTGCCACTTCTAGCTCCATCACCCGCCCACCCCACTGACTGGCAGTTCTTGTTCCAAGTTTGTTCTTCCACCTGATTGTAAACACCTTTGGGACTAGGACTGTCTTCACTCAGTTTCCGTTGCCGGGCGCCTGACGCACAGTGCCATGGAGAAAACCCAGCTGTTGAGAGAATAGTGGGCTTCACCTGCTCTCATTTTTTTTCTCAAAGGGACCAGCGTGAGTGTCTAGGGCTCGACCTTGTGCATAGACCATGCGCTTGGGCTGTCTGTAGCCCCGGAGCGTGCCCTCAAACCTCTGCAAACCCTGCCTACCCTCGTGGGTCCTAGGAAAGCCTCTCCTGGTCACCCAGCTCTTATTGATGATACTCCCCTGAAATCCCTGGAGCACAGTGCATATTCCCCGGGCACTAGCTGTAGGCTGAGTCCTTTCTATGGGCTGGGGGCAGTGATGAACATGTAAGTGCCTTCCTGGTGGAGCTCACTCTCGGTCTCCCTCTGATGTAGCCCTGTTATAATACACGATTACACAGGACAATGTCTAGTGAGTGAGTAACATACAGCAACATTGCCTGGCTTCTGGGCCACCTGCTAAATGGATGTTTTGTCATTGCTGGGGGTCATTTCCTTGTATTAACGAGACATGCTGTAGAGCTACTAGTGCTCAGTAAAATGTTTTGAATGCTGACTGGTAAGCACAAGAGAAAGTCATGAGCCTCCTCTTGACTTGCTGGGGGACTGGGAGGTTTGTGAACTTATTTTTTCCCTTTGTCCTGTGTGTGTGGATATATGTTACATGCAGTAAGAAGAAAGCATTTTCACTCATTTCCTTCCTTTTCCTCTCTCTGTCTCACTGTTCCTACAGGTCAGCGTTGAAGTTCTGGTAGAGTATCCTTTTTTTGTGTTTGGACAGGGCTGGTCATCCTGCTGTCCGGAGAGAACCAGCCAGCTCTTTGATTTGCCGTGTTCCAAACTCTCGGTGGGGGACGTCTGCATCTCGCTGACCCTCAAGAACCCGAAGAACGGCTCCGTTAAAAAGGGCCAGCCCGTGGATCCCGCCAGCGTCCTGCTGAAGCACTCGAAGCCCGACAGCCTGGTGAGCAGCAGGCACAGGTACGCGGAGCAGGAGAACGGAATCAGTCAGGGAAGCGCCCAGCTGCTCTCCGAGAACGGCGAACTGAAGTTTCCAGAAAAAATAGGATTGCCTGCAGCACCCTTCCTCACCAAAATAGAACCCAGCAAGCCTGCGGCGACGAGGAAGAGGAGGTGGTCGGCCCCGGAGACCCGCAAACTGGAGAAGTCGGAAGACGAGCCACCTTTGACTCTTCCCAAGCCTTCTCTCATTCCTCAGGAGGTGAAGATCTGCATTGAAGGCCGCTCTAACGTGGGCAAGTAGAGGCCGAGCAGGCACGGAGATGTCCCTTACCATTTGTATCCAGATTACTGTACTGTAGGCTGAATAATACAGTATTTACATGTTATCCTCTTATTTTAGGTTTCTGTTCTAACCTTGTCATTAGAGTTACAGCAGGTGTGTCGCAGGAGACTGGTGCATATGCTTTGTCCGAGAGGTCCCTCTGGGAGCTGGCGGGTGGAGGGTGGGTCAGAGCAGCGGCGATCCGGGCTCCGGGCATCCTGGGTGGCATGAATGTGGCTTACCAGCGCCTGCCTTCTCTAGCAGCACCGAGGCATCCGATGGGCACCGAGTCCCTCTAGTTTCTGGGGAAAGTTCAGTGGAAAGGGACTTGCAGGGCGCAGGGTGCCGCAGTGGCCAGCCAGGGTATCTCTTTCTCTGCCTCTCTCTGCCTCAGTCTCTTGCTTTCAGCGTGGGATTGAGGGTACAGGCAGTGCCCTCTTGGGGTTCCCCCGTGCAAAATCAACATCAGGAACCCAGCTTTGGGGCACCGTAGGGAGGCGTCAGATGGCAAATGGAAAGCTAACTGTTTCAAAGAACATTTTTCTCTCCAACATATTTTACAATAAAAGCAACTTTTAATCCTATAGATATATATTTCCCCCATGGGGCCTGACTGCACTGATATATATATAAATTTTTTTAAAACAAAAAACAGGAAGAGCAACTGCCACATGTGGGATTTCATTTCTGCTTTACTAGTGCAGTGATATATATCGCCGGGGTGTCGCGGTGGGCAGGGAGGGAGGCCCCAGCTCCGCTCACATCACCCACAGCGGGTGGGGAAGGAGGGGACGCCCCCGCTGTTTTCTGTGCAGTGTTAGGAAAATCAATCAGGTTATTGCATTGACTTCGCTCCCAAGAGGTAAATGCAAACTGCCCTTCAGTGAGAGCTGCGAAGCTCTCTGAGTTGAGTTTGCAAAATCTTTTTGTCTTTTAACTCTAGTACTGTTTATAGTTCATGACTATGGACAACTCGGGTGCCACCTTTTTCAGATTCCAGTGTGACGTGAGGAATTAGATTTCAAAGATGAGCATATATTACTATCTCTAAGCACTTACAATGCTGTTCACACTTTATTACAAAGCATCTGGGTCTGTCATTCAACGAGTACTGTATCTCACTTTAAACTCTTGGGGAAGGAAAAATGAAAAATAAGTTGCTTTTGTTTTTTTCAACACTGTAACTACATTTCAGCTTTGCCGAGTTGCTCACGAGCAAGATTTTGAAAGTTTCAATGTGGTTTAAAGGGATGAATGTGAATTATGAAACTAGTATGTGACAATAAATGACCACCAAGTACTACCTGACAGGAGGCACTTGTCACTTTGATTTTGGAGAAAGAGTTAAAAGGCATATGCAGGGTTGGCTGAGAAACCGAGAGGAAAAAGATGGAGGAAAGAATACTCATTTTTGTCCAGTGTTTTTAAGATGAACTTTTAAAAGAACCTTGCGATTTGCACATCTTGAGTTTATAATTTGTGTGATATTCCTGCAGTTTTTTATCCAATAACATTGTGGGAAAGGCTTGGGGGACTGATCGAGCATAAATAAATGTAGCAAAATTACTTTCTAACCTGCCTAAACTCTAGGCCATTTTATAAGGTTATGTTCCTTTCAAGATTCATTTTGGTCTTTTTACTAGATCTGTCGTGAAAAGCCAGGTCTTAGCAGGACAACTCTGAAAATTTTCTTCAGATTCATTGAGAGAGTTTTCCATAAAGACATTTATATGTAAGCAAGTTTTTTTTTTCTTTTTGAAAAATAAAACAATTACTTTATTATTGTTATGTTACTTTCAGAATGACTTTTTTTTTTTTTTTCCTATTTGAAATCAAACTCAGATTTAATGTTTGGTACAAACCCAGAAAGGGTATTTCATCAAGTTTAAACCTTTCATTCCCAGAGATCTTAAATATTATTTGTGGGTTTTAAGTACATCTTAAAGTGCTTTAAACAACAACAGTTTTAAAAGTAGACAGAAGTTTTTAAATATTCATACTTGGGTGGCTGCAACTAACCTGAACACATACTTACGTGATTTTTCATCTACCACTGAAAGTATTGCTTCTTCCATGTTGCAGATTTAAAAAAAAAAAATCCTAACATCAACCCACATGTTGACTTGACTATCCTAATAATACTCATTTACATTTAGCTCTCACCAGGACTAATGATTTTTATAAACCATTTTCTGGGGTGTACCAAAAACATTTAGGTTTAGAATTACTAGACTCCTTCTTTGACTTTCTCTTCAATTTCATTACCCTCTCAGCAGGCTAGCAGAGCTGGGTGGGCCCATTCTTGCGGTCATACTGCTTATTTAGTGCTGTATTTTTAAAATGTTTCTGTTTAGAGAACTTGCTTAATCTTCCATATATTCTGCTCAGGGCACTTGCAATTATTAGATTTATTTTTCTTTTTTGTTTTTTTAACCTTTGATGGTAAGAGGAGTATGGGGCTGCCACATAGACTGTTCTCGTTCACACCACTATTTACAACAGTTTGTGTGGGCTCAGAGAAACACACGCCACCTTCTGGCTGACTTTGAGTACTGAATTGACTGCGTCCGCAAAGCCAACACTAAAACGGGAAAGAAAAACACATGGTTCGGAGCAATAGGAACATCATCATTTCTGTGGTTCTATTTCAGGTACAGGAATTATAAAATCATGGGTTCTTGCAAACATTTCTCACATTTCATTCTCTTTTCTTTTTTAGCATGTGCAATACTTTCCGTGCCAATAGTCTGACCAGTGTGCTATGTAGTGAAAGCTCATTCCCTTTTGGCTTTTGTCCTTGTTCAGTTGGTTGATCTTCCCGGTTCTGGCCGAGGAAGGGCTGGAGGGGAGAACCCTCCTGCCTGCCTGTCTCTGCCATGATGCTGAGCACCTGGGCAGGGAGCCTGCAGGAGCCCCGGTATCTGTCACCGTGTTGCAGAAGAAAGACCTAGGGGAAGAGCCAGTTCCCCATCACCCCACGAAGTAGTGAACGTGGAGTATGAGAGGAAGGAGGCTCAATGTTTAAGATGCACTCGGGAGCAATGTGGGCTGGAACCAACTCATTTTCCACAGTCATTGCTGCGAGTGGGCAGCCCCTCCTTCTCGGGCAGGGTCTGTGTCCTGGAGACTTTGAGCGCGGGCAGCAAGTGTGGCCCCTTGTGCGTGTGTACGCATTCTGAATGTGCCAGCCAGTGGCCGTGGAGGGGGCCACCTGCCAACCACGGTCACCATGGAACCCACAGAGGGCAGGAGCCTCCTGTTGTTGGACATTGGCGAGCCCAAGGCTCCCGAAGCAGCTTCTGTCATCGCATCTGTGTAGCAAATCTAATGAAGACAGGGGTAGAAATTCTTCAGTGCCGTTCAGGATACGAGGATCAGCCATGTGCCTCTGTACCGTGTCCTCTTTGCAATATTAACCAACTGCCGTCTTTTCGTTCTTCCTTCTTTCCTGTTTTTCATTTTTTTAACTAATAACAGCAGGTCTTTTGCGTTTACAACGAAACACAATCACCATGAAATTAGTCAGGGCGAAAAGAAAAAAAAAATAAGAAACCAACAAACAAGAACCTCTCTTTATAGGGATTTCTAAATATATAAAATGACTGTTCCTTAGAATGTTTAACTTGAGAATTATTTCAGTTTGTTTGGGCCACATTAGGGGCTGAGGTGGGGAGGGAGGGACACAGACAGATGCCACTTACCTCAAATTTTTTCAGAGTGGAAATCCAAATTGCATACTCATTTGGACTTTCAGGATAATTTTCTATGTCGGTGGAACTTTGGTTTGCCCCAACTCACCCAGTCTGGTTCGGGATGATTTGATGTTTGTGGTGGTAGCGATCCCATTTCTAGCTCTGAATGGTGACCCTGTGTGTTTTCTGTTAGGTGAGTGTGTTGGGTTCCCCCCCACCGGGAAGTGGCAGCATCCCTCCTCCCCTACAAGGAACTCTGCGGAAACTTTCACACCTCTTACTCAGGGACGGGGCTGGTGTGTGTGTGTAACACTGAGGTGTCCAGCAGCAGCACTTTGACTGCTCTGGGGTAGGGTTGTACAATTTCAAAGAATGTTTGGATTTCCTGCATCTTGTGGATTACTCTTTAGATACTGCATAGATTGCAATATAATGCTGCATGTTCAAATGAACAGTAGCTCCTAGTAATCATAAAAATCCACTCTTTGCACATAGTTTTGATCTTTACTGAAATCTGTTGCCAAAATTTATTTTTGTTGTTGTAGCTTTGGATTTTGTTCTTTTTTTTTTTTTTTTTTTTTTTTAAGGAAACAATTGACAATACTTTTTAACATCTGTGACTACTAAGGAAACCTATTTCTTTCATAGAGTGAAAAAATCTGAGATGCTTTTGAAGACACTAATGCCATGCTATTTCAGACATGGGTGAGGAAGCAGCGCTCTTGGGACAGAAAGCCAGGCTCCCCGAGCTGTGTTGGTTGTCATGGCTACTGTTTCCTGAACCACAAACAGCTCAACAGACTGGTCTGTTCTCTCCTGAAACCCTTCGTGCTTCCAATGTCGTAGTCACCCTCGAAATTCCAGGTGAAGACAGGGCCAGCTGTCTCAGTGGCCCAGATCCAGTTTCTTCAGTGGTGAAATGAATGACAAGAGAATTACACTTTTTTTTGTGCTTGTTGCTTTTAAAGTGGAGTGGAGGCCTTTGCTTCCACATTTGTGTTTTTAACCCAGAATTTCTGAAATAGAGAATTTAAGAACACATCAAGTAATAAATATACAGAGAATATACTTTTTTATAAAGCACATGCATATGCTATATTGTGTTGGGTTGGTTTCCACTCTTTTCCACAGACAGCGTTGTGTTTGTTGATAGGGAAACTCCAAATGACTTGTACACCTCTACTCTGGAGCTAAGATTCCTTTGACATAGATGACCTCGCTTCAAATATGTTACCTTACTGATAGGACCTTTTCTTGTAGCACTATAACCTTGTGGGAATTTTTTTTTCTTTAATGTTCACCTAATTCAAGAAGCTGAAGAGAAAAATTTGAAGCGCTCACTTAAAGGAGTACAGGTAATGTTTTTTTTAAAAAAAAATTGCACAAAAGAAAAATGAATGTTGAGATGATTCTGTGTTTGAAAGATACGGATTTGTGGAAACAAGTTTCATACTTTGTAAAATCAGAAAATAAGCAGAGAAGGTTGAAAGTTACATGGTTTTTTTTTTGTATATAGAGATTTGTCACGTCTAAATGATCAGATCTTTATGGTTATGGTTATGGCCTGGAAGAATTGCTACATAAAAGGCTCTTAAACTATACCTATCTTGTTAAGTTTTTGTTACACATTACCCTCGTTGGAGGGCGGGGAACTCTGTATTCTATTTGAGAGTACTGTTCCTTCCTAGGCTAAAAATACTTCTTTGAGCTCCCTTTTTAGTCTAAACTCCTAAGCCATTGCAACTTCTTTTTCTTCAGAGATGATGTCTGATATGTTTACCACTTCCTGTTCTCTAAATCCAAAGAATATAATCCTGAACATGAAGTGTTTTTAAAAGGGATCCTATCTACCAATCAAACAGGACTTGTGGGGACAAAAACCAATTTACCTTTCCTCCTTCCACACACACCTCCGTTAAATGGGGGGCATGATTTTCAGTTAAATGCCTCATTTTACTTTTTCATTTTCTTTTACTAGAGATCAAAATAAATGTGGAGCAATCTCTCTGAAGCATCATATTCCTGTCCAAACTTCCAAGTTGGGCAGTGGAATCTGGACAGCTGTGGGGATGTTGAAACATTCCCACCTGCAATTCTTAAACTCAGAATCTCCTCCCCGTCCCTTGTCACCAGTGCAATTGTTCCAGTAGCTAGCATTCACCTGTACAAGGGTGGTTGGAAACGATGGCTTCAGTTCTTCAGGTCCCCAGTGACTTACTTGCATACAAATGGTTTGACTGTATTAAAATTAAGTGCATTTGGCCAACAGATAGTATCTATACAATAACGGTCTGAGAATTCCCATGACTTTTCTTATCTGAAAGGAATCAAGTCTTCCATTGCAGATAAATTGGAGGCTTCACCCCTGCCCCATGTTTTTCTTTGCCTTTAGTTTGTCTGTTCGTTCGCTGTCTGGATGGCCAATGAGCCTGTCTTTTCTGTGGCCAATCTGAAGGCCTTCGTGGGAAGCGTTGTTTACAGTAATCCTTACCAAGATAACATACTGTCCTCCGGAATACCAAGTTGTGGTGACCCTGGCTTAGAGCTGTTTCCAAGAAGGTCAGTGCATAGGTTTCCTATACCACCTCGTCTTCAAGTCATTCTCTGGCCCAGGAGTGGGGTGAAGTCTTTAGTTAGTAAATGCTGAACTTGGTACCTGTGCATCTGGGTCTGTGAATACTGTCCCACTAGGCCAGGTTTCTTCCTCTACAGCCTGCACTGCTCAACAGCAAACCCAGTTAGTGTCAACTGAAAGGAGGTTCCAATAGAGTCCTGTCAGTATTTGGGATCGCTTTCAGATAAGACAGAGTCCTCATTTCTAGCCAGTGGGGTCCAGGCTCCACAGCCATCTCAAGATTTGTCCCAATAGATATTTTAACATCAGAATATTCCCATCAGGCTTCCAATCATATGCCTCCCACAGGCCAAGGGAAAATAAACACCAAAACTTGGGTTGAGGGCACTACCAGACTGGCATAGCCAGTATGGAGAACTAGGGAAGGAATGATGTTTTGCACCTTATTGAAAAGAAAAAATTAAGTGCATACATAGTTAAGAGCTTTTATTGTGACAGAACTTTTTTCCATATGCGTGCATACTCTGTAATTCCAGTGTAAAATATTGTACTTGCACTAGCTTTTTTAAAACAAATATTAAAAAAATGGAAGAATTCATATTCTATTTTCTAATCGTGGTGTGTCTATTTGTAGGATACACTCGAGTCTGTTTATTGAATTTTATGGTCCCTTTCTTTGATGGTGCTTGCAGGTTTTCTAGGTAGAAATTATTTCATTATTATAATAAAACAATGTTTGATTCAAAATTTGAACAAAATTGTTTTAAATAAATTGTCTGTATACCAGTACAAGTTTATTGTTTCAGTATACTCGTACTAATAAAATAACAGTGCCAATTGCAAATGTGTGGCTTTACTTTTTGTTGGATCCTCAAAGACAAGGCAGAGAAAATGGTGGTGGCAGCTCTTTCTTCCTTGTGCTGTGATCCCATGAATCCTCCCCTGCTGACTTCTGTTGGGAATGGGGCTGTGCTAAAGAAAAGGTTCTAGAACATTCTACGCTAAAACGTCAACGTCCATGTGTCCGTATCCAATGTCTTGTTCCGCTCAGGCCTGTATCTCCTATCTGAATACTGATGTTTATAAATGGTTTTTCTTTTTAAGCATTGGGCAGCTCCACGGGCTCTTGTGATAGAATCAGTGTGTTTCCTACACTTCAGCTGTAAACTGGGTCAGAGGAGGGAAGGCTCACTGGGTTAGGAGCTTCCCTGTGTTTGTCTGCAGAACACCGTGCCACAGGTTTGTGTGGGGCTCAGTCATAAAAACAGGAGGCTCAACAGTTGCCCTGAAAGTCACTCTTCAAGACCCCCTGCCACCAAGCCCATAACCTGGGTGCCATGTGACTTGCATGGATGACGCTTTCAATGTTTTGAGGCCAGCTGTGTCACAGCACACAGCTGGGGGTGCCCCTGATCAATGCAGGCCCTTGAGGTGTCCCCACTGTTAGATTCCAGACTACATGGATGGCTGTCTGGTTACGAATTCAAGGTTAACGCAGGTGAAAGTTAACTTTGGGGTTCGAGTCAAAGTCTTCACCTGGCCCCAGCAAGATGGGAACTCCTTCCCTTCCACAGTCATCTTGGTGAGTTTTGGGGACATGCAACCAGACGTCCCACCACAGCTGCATTAGGGTGTGAATGGATGGGCACTGAGCCAGTGGGGACTGGATGATCCTCAGACCAGACGAGAAGGACTTGCCCTGTGTCCTCCTCTAGAGCAGCTTTGGCTTAGAGTGGACTGTGCTTTGGCCAAGCCTGCTGAAGCTGTCCCCATCTTCCTTTCCGGCCTGGCTTCCGTTAGACACTAAGGGACCAGCCAAGTTTGGAGTCTAATGGTGTGACATCACCGGGGACTACACTGATTAGGGGCAAAGACTAGCTGTGTGCTGCGGGGGGCAGGCCTCGAGTATTGCCTCGTGAAGGTGAATGGCACCAGGGTGATCGCCCTGGCCCACCCCTGCCAGCACAGGGAGCCCAGTGGGGAGGCAGCGGGGCTACACGCTTGACCTCTGCCCACATCCTGTCTGCTACCTGGGCTGAGGGACGCCCCACCAAGTCCATAACTACTACAAGTGGATAAGACTTGGAAAGCTAAAGGGAGTGAGGCATTAGTTCTCAGGAAGCCTCTGCTTTAAAATGATCCTCGTGGGTTTTAGGCTTTGCAGTAACTATCTTTACTTCACTAGAAAGTGGACTGCAAGGGACCTGCCTTCCGTCGTGAAAACGAAGAGCTAGTCGGCAAAGTCTTTACCGAGGTGGGTAAGGCAGCCCAGGTGTCACCCTCCCTGCACAGACGGTGGCACGGGAGCCAGGTCTCAGAAAAACGGGGTGCTGGTGACCTCTGGCTACAACAGCAGGAGCGTGGAGTTGGACCTGGTCCTGAAAGACATTCCCTTACCACTGCAGCACCTTCCTAAGGGATTTCTTTAAGATTTACTTTTCTTCACATCTCTTCTTCTCCAAACATTTCTGAAGAGTGTCAGTCAGGAGAGGCTGAGCCTGCACGGAGACAGGCAGGGAGGAGGCGGGGCCCTTGTCGTGACCCTCCTCTCACTCTACCTCCCCCTCTGCCCTCCTAACCTCACTCTCATCTCTCAAGTGCAGCCTTTCATGTTTCTATGGCTACAAGAGCAATGCATTAAGAATGGGGGCAGTGGCTTAGATAATTGCTAAAAACTGCTGGGCCTTTAAATGTTTTCCTTAAAAGACTAAAAACGGGCTTCTACTTCCCCAGCATGATGCTGGGACGAGGCCCTCGGGTCCCTCGGGTCCCTCAGGTCCCTCAGGATGTCGGGTGATGGATGCCTGCCTCAATAGCACCATTAGGCCCTTTCTCTACTCTAGGCCCGTGCTCGCCTTTCAGAGACAATCTCAGGTCCCTGCTTCATTCGCCTTGTTAACAAGAAAAGCAGAATACTCTGGCATGCATGAACTTACTCGACCAGTAACTTCAACTCGAGTGTCTAGCACTGAGAGAACCGTGGTGGGTCCTTTCTCCAAGACAGAGTCACCATCACCAGCCCACTAGCTCACCACTGTCCGGCAGAACCGCATATAAATCCCAGCAAGGGAAAGATGGAAATGCCACTTTTTAAACCAATGCCTTTTAGGGGGCTGCTGAGCAAAGCCTCTGTTTTCCAGTAGGACTCTACCTGCTCATTTTTCACACATCATCTTTTATAATCTCTTTGACAGGGGCCGGCCTGACCAGCTGAGATGGCGAAGGGAAGGAAAAAATGGATGGAGAAAAATAAACTAAACCCAGGATAGGGCCAGCTTCCTAGAAGCAGCTTTATGCCCTTTTCCAGCCACCAACAGCTGGAGGGGAAGGGACACCGGCTACCTGGACTCAGCCCAGCCCTCCCCAGGGCATCTCCAATGCTGGCAGCCACGTGTGCCACTTACCTGGCTAGGAAGGCAGCAGCACTATCTCTAACAACCCCGTGAAACTTGGCTTCTGCAAATGCAAACTCCAGCACTCCATGGAATCTCAAGATAATAGCATTATATTAAAGGAAAACCATTTTCTTAAAAAAAAAACAAAGGTGCAAGTGAACAATGAGGCTATGAGTCCTGGGCCATTGGCCCAATTAGGGCCCTGCATCTGGGCCCCAAGAAGGCACTAGGGAGCCCCAAAGCCTCCAGGCAGCAGGAAGGGGAGAAAGGACGCAGCATTCCACCATTCGGGAGCAGCCAGCAGCTCTGGAGCGATGGACAGGAGGGAGATGGGAAAAGCGGTGTGCGAGATGGCGGCTTCGGCTCCAGCTTTGTCCCAAGGTTAACTGAACACAGTGTTGTGCTGCTGGGTCACCCGGATGAACGTTGCTCTCCTGCTGAGCTCCTTGAGCTTGGCGGCCCCCACATAGGTGCAGGTAGACCTCAGTCCCCCGAGAATATCCAGAATCGTGTGTTCCACATCCCCCTTGTAAGGCACTTCCACAGTCTTGCCCTCAGAGGCTCTGGAAGAAAAGAGCACAACTTTCTTTTTATCCAGCTGCTCTCTCCATGAGCACCAGGAGGATTCCCAGCTGTCAGATGCTTAGCGGCCCCAGGTACTCAGGCAGCCAGGTGCACCCTCAGCCCCACTCCTCCATCTCCACTGTGTGCCAAGCTGACACTGTCCTCACCAATGTGCCCCACTCTGCCCCTACCTGATGCCAAACCCGCCTTTCTGTGTACACCAACCTGCAAGCAAGCAACTACTCCGGGGAAACAGACCTGGTGGTTCCCGCTTGCAACAAGCACCTGCTGTGCCTGCCCGTTAGCACCAGTGACAGAACACATCCAGAACTCTGCCTGAGTGCCAGGCAGAAGTGTCTACCATGGGACACTGAGTGCCTTCAAAGGGGACAATGAGGAGACAAAACAGACCACTCTACCATCCTAGGTTACTTGGAAGCTCCCCACCAGACATGCGCACTGAGAAGCTGTCTCCCCAGGGTGCCCTTTGTTGGCTCCTCCTAGCGGCCGGCTCACCTCTTCTCTCAGGTCTGCACACCTTTTTCCCTAGGGCATGGAGGGAACCTAGCAAGGTGGTGCCAGAGCAGAAGCAAGCACTGTCTTAGGACAGAGGCCCCAGGGCTGCAGACAGCATCCCTCACCTCTTCAGAGTGGTCCTTCAAGACTCAGGTATACAGCACAGACACCAAGCAACCTAACTGTCCCCTCTGGGCTCTGTCCCTGTCTTCACAAGACCTCCACGTCACCCTGCCTTGTCCCACAGATCAGGCCTTTGCACCGTAACATGGTATTACAGTCCATGCTTGTTTCTGCAGAGGTTTGCAAGGGGGACATCTGACATCTACACTAAACCCTGATCTACGGGCTGGGCAAATCCTAAGTAACCAAGTTCTGGAACTTTCTGTGGCTACTCTCAACAAATGGAAAAACTGCAGCTCTTGATCAGCAACTTCATTACCTGGGACTTCAAAGGGGTGTCAACTTTTATTCACTTAACATGCGAAACGCCCCTTGAGTGAAACTGAGCAACTTAAAACCATCAGCTGGATAAAAGGCCAGCCGGGTGACCGGTGGAAGACAGAGTCACCACCACACCCGGATGGCTCAGGTCCTGTGCCTATAATGACTGCCATCTCGCTGTCCTCAGACATTTCCACATTCCCACTGTTGTCTCTTTGCTGACTGGAGATGTCAGCTCTTCCAAGTCACGCTGAAGGCTGCTCATCTGCAAATGAAGGCACTTTGACCCACCTCTCAGGGCTGGGTGAGAAGGAAGTGCTGGTTAGAAAGGAACTAACAGAGCATTAGCAACAATCCCATTAAACCCAGTGTCCAAGCAGGGAATCATCCTGATGACAAGATTGGGGCACAAGGTTGCAAACTGCCAAAGAGAAAAATAGGTAGACCACACACAGATTCTAGACTTGGGCTACCTGTGGTTAAGGTTCTAATTCCTTCAGCACCTTCCTTGTCTATGACTTGAATCTATTTCAGAACCATTCTCTATCTGTGATGGCTCCTCCCTGCTGAAATCCCAGAAGACAGATTTTCTTTCAGCACTTAGGTATCTGTGTGATAGCCTGATCCCACCTTCCCTACCCACAACATTTCTGAGGACCCCGAACTACAGCTACAGGGCAGGAGAACATACTTCAAGCAAAGCATATAACAGGCTCAGCCACACAAGCCCACTGTACTCCAGCACAGGGCAGACACCACATGAGCCACTGGACAGTGACAGTAGTTGGTGGCCCAACTTCTTGGACACAGGTCAAGGTAGCATGGAGGCAGTCACCCCCACCCCTATCAGTTACCATGGAGACAAAGGGCCTCAGCGGTTCCCTGGCAGGAGTGTACCTCCTAGTTCTGATGGGTTCCCACCCTGCCTTCCCTACAAGGATAAGGGCTTTACTGACTTCCCCACAAAAAAAAAAAAAAACATGACTGGGGAGAATGAAGTCAGCCACCAGAATGACACCACACAGAGCTCTGGAAGCAGAGCTTACCCTGTCCCTCCTGCCCCTCCCCTCAGCGGAGTTCTGGATTCTTCTGCTAGCTGGGCATTACCCTTACATAACGCATCCTAGTCCCAGGCCCTCAACATGAGTGTGTGGCTGTGGGCCAAGTGCTAGGAAGCAGAGTGTCAGCCAGGGCAGGCTTGGATTCCACCCTACTATGGGGATGGACCTGAAAACGCAGGTAAAAAGCTGGGCTTCCTAGAGAAAGGAAGCCAACGCCAAGTCCTGGCCATTGCCCTCTCCTCTGTCCCCTCTCTGCAGCTTGTCAGCAGCGCTGGCTGTAAGGGAAAGGAACAGTGGCTCTGTGGGGCAGGGAAAAGCGTGAGTCCCTCTGCTGTGCATTGAAGCACAAGTGCAGACCTCTGACACGGAGGGGAAAAAGGAAAGGCTGGGGATCCTGAGGTTCTGTAGCTGGAAATGTTGCCCATGTTACCTGGAAGCCAGTGACGGTTCTGATAAGCCTGGGCCAAAGGTGACATGGACCAGCCTGCAGGAAGGGCTCAGCCATGGCACAGGGGTCTATAGGTGCCACCTGGTTCCTATACATCAGAAAACTGCGCTTCAGCCTGACTCCTACAGTCCAAACTGATCTCAGGCCAGAGCTGGGAGGTTCAGGGACAGCTCAGCCAAGACCCTATGGAGCAAGGCAATATTCCATCCAGCCCCACAGTCTGCTCACACAGACCCCTGGTCATGCCTCTAACCTGGCACACACAATGCAAATGCCAAGTGGATATAAATTAGTCTGAAAAGACACTGGTGTGGGTTCCAGACCTTTCCCAAAGGACCTCCACCTACCTGGACCTCTGAGTCACAAGAAGCTACAGCCTGGCGGGCGGCACGCTGGGCCCAGCCTTACCTGTACTCAGCCACTCCTCCTGCGTGTTTCTTCATGGCCGTTTCCGAGCTCATCCCGTAGAACAGCTTGAGCTTCTGTCCGTTCCTCTCGATCACTTCCCCTGCACACTCCGTGTGGCCCGAGAACATCCCTCCCAGCATGACGAAGTCAGCTCCAGCTCCTGTACGCCACCGAGCGGCCGGGGGGAAGCAGGAGAAAAGGGCTCAGAGAAGAAAGGTGTGAGTCTTTCCCCCACCCCCTTCTCGCCCTAGGGAGAAGGCCCCTGCCGGGACACAAGGTCACAGGCACTGAGACACACGTGGGGCTTTCACTGGACAATACTGACTGGCTCACTGAGGCCCCATTCCGCCAGAGGTCTCTTAGATTCAGAGAGAACATTAAGAACCGCACACCATCGGCCAGGAGCAGTGGCACACGCCTGTAATCTCAGCACTTTGGGAGGCTGATGTAGGAGGCTCTAAATTTCAAATCCTGCCTTGGCAACTTAGCAAGACCCTGTCTCAATAAAAATGGCTTAGTGGGAAGGCCTGGGTTCAATCCCGGTAGCGCCAAATGGTGCCGCATCTTAGAAAACACATCGTCTAATCTTGTACTCAATACAGTAACTTCTCCAGTGTCCTCCTCAGGCATCTGGTCTCTTTCTTAAGCTTCCTACACCATTACTGTGTATTGAGAGCTCAGGAAAGAGCCTCAGAGCAGACTGCACCTCTACACTTGAGACTGGGTGAGGAGGAAGAAGCAGCTCTATGAGGCTTGCGCAAAGCTCCCTGCATCCCCACTGTGGTGGATGTTAGACTTCTAGAGCAAATGATATGCCCTCATGAAGTTTCCTGGACAGCTACAGGCTGGTCCATGTCACCTGTGGCACTGGCTACCCTGGCACAGGACCGGGTCTGGCTGTGTGTGTCCCAGTGCAGAGCAGGTGGCAGATGCGGAGTCCTTAGCCACCATGACAGCGAAGGCACACATTCAAGAAAAAGTAGACACCATTCCTCTTCCTGTTCTTGGGTAGGTCTGCAGAGTGGCTCTTCACTGAACATTATGTGCTGGAGTTGGAGAGTGTCCCCCGAAGTTCACGTGTGATAAAGTTAAGCCCCAGTTCTATATGTTGGTGGTGAGTGGAGGGCAGGACCTCTAGCAGGTCATGAGGCAGAGACCCCCTGATAGCGTCAGTGGCTTTAAAGAGAGACCTGCGCTAGCCCAGGGGGACCCATGTCGGGCTGAAGCATGGATCTCCCACTGCACAGAAACAGGCTGGTCTGGACCCCTGTGCAGTGCTGGGCTCTTCCTTGCTGTCCTACCATGTGACACCTCTGCCACGTTTGACACAGCAAAAAGGCACTCGCCAGCAACCAACATGATGCTGGTGCATCTCTCAGACTTCCCAGTCTTCTGAATCATGAGCCAAATAAACTTCTATTGATATAAACCACCCAGTGTCAGGTATTTTGTACCAGAGGCCTTTGGGGTGGGCGTCGGCTCTGTCCTTTCCACTCAGCCTTACAGAAAGGCGTGCTCTTGCCATGGCCCTTGGTCTGCCACGAAGACGAGCAAGTTCTACCCAGCAGCAAGCTCTGCAGCCTTCCCTCCAGGTTTCTAAAGCCTCTACTGGCTCCTTCCTGGTCTTCCTGCCATGATTCTAGGGGACAGAAGTTAACTGGTATCTGGCCAGGCTTCCTGGTCCCCACCACCCAAGAAGTCTACACCAGGGACACAGAGCTGAGTTCCACATAATGTCTAAAGAGGCTCCCAAATATTGCTGAGGTTTTTTTGTGTGTAGAGAGGTACAGGGGATGGTACTGGGGATGAAACCCAGGCCTCACACATACTGGCCAAGTGCTCTACCACTGAGCTACCTCCTAGCTGCTTTTGGAGACAGGGTCTCACTAAGGTGCCCAGGCTGGCCTTGAACTTGCAATTTCCGACAGCCAGGATTACAGGTGTGAGCCCCTGTGCCTGGCTCTCATATCTTTTAAGCAGCGTTTTCCCTGCCCAGGTCCCTCCCCCTCCCCTGAGCCTCTGCACAGATGCTGCTGCACTAAGTGGCAGAGGAGAAAAAGGTGCCCAAGAAAAACCGAGCTGAGTGTGAAGCCAAAGGCCCGCGACTTCTCTACACGGGACCTTCTTAGGGGTCACTTTAAAGTGTGCTCAGCGCCTGCCTGTGTATACAGCACGTAGAAGAATGAGAAGGGAACCAAGATGGACTCCATTCGAATACGGAGAATGGCCACAGCTGTGACCCTTGGTAAGGTGGGGGGCGGGAGTTAGCAGAGGTCCCAAGTTCTCCCTGCCCTGGACTTGAGGACTGTGACCTCGTCCACCCCTGGGCCCTCAGTCCTGTCCGCCACTGAAACAGGCAAGCTGGAAGAGCATAGCGTCTGCATCTTCCCTTCTGCGGTAACATCTCTGAGCAGACCGGTATGAAGTCCTAGCTTCATGACACTCTCTCAACTGCTATCAGACTCTGCCACCCCCAGGGTCTCCTCTGTCACCATTGGGGGTTTTGTTTAAAAAGCACACAACAGAATTTCTAAGAAAATGTCCTGCTATCAAAATTTTTTTTCTCTTTGTGTCAGGAAAGGGTGGGGACCTAGGAACTTTATTTTTGCCTCCTGCGAGCACCCGTAGCTCCCTCTGAACAGTCTGGAGCCCTCAGCTGTGTAGGTAGCTCTGACATCTATATAATGTTTGCAAACATTACGTGGCCCATATGGGGCTCGGCAGCCCTATTTTACTGTGCCTTATGATGAGATGCGGGACTTTCTAGTGCTCTTCTGGGAAACACCCAGGTCACACCTGTCCCAGCTGCCTCCTAGTGGGAAGCAGGCACCCCAGTCTCTGGCGAGAAACTGGCCAGGACTCTCCCAGGGAATTACTCTAGGTTGAGTCAAAAGAGCCCCTTCAGGCTAGGGGTGCAGCTCAGTAGTGCAGCACTTGCCTAGCATGCACAAAGCCCTGGGTTCCCTCCCCAGCACCACAAGAAAGACGGAAGGGGCTATCATCCCTAGACATGAGACCGGTGCTATCCTCTTCCAAGGGTTCTCTGAGCCAAGTCTTCCCCAGGGAAGAGGCTGTGGCTTCACCCACTCTTGGCCTGCAGGATGTCACCCTAGAGCCACAGACTAAAACCAAACCAAACCCAAGGTCTTGGCCAACTGGGAAGGAAACGCAGGGAGAGGAAATTGAAGATGGGCCCAGAATGACCCACAGGTCCCCACCACCCCTTCCACACCACAGCTGGGTCCTTACCGAAGGCTTTGGCGACATCTCCTGGACATGTGCAACCTCCATCCTTCAAAGAGGAAAGAGCAAGGATAGGACATCAGAAGGAGCCTGGCCAGGCTGTTCCCTCCTGAAGTGACTCAGGGACCAGGAGTTCATACCTCCTGGCCCACAGCCCAGGGCCAGGTGTTTTCTGGTCTAATTCAAGCCCTGGATATTTCACCCCACATTCCCCAAAGCCACAGCCAGTCCTCCGTGGGCTGGGGCCTGGCACCACCTAGCCCCTGGGTGCCCAGGTTGCTGCCCCAGCTGGGCAGCAGGAGGAGGCGGGAGAGCTGAGCTACCACAGGCTCGGCCCCCTTCTCTGCCAGCCCCTTATGTAATAGCCCAGCCTTCCCCGGCCACGCTCTGCCTCTCTCAGGGGTCACCTTTCCCTCCCTGCCTGGCGAGAGGAGACTGATTTAGTACAAGGGCCAAATTATTTTAGGAGCTGAGAAAAGGACATGAGGTCCATCCCTTTCATGTCCTGTTCCCTGTATACTGGGGCAGTCACCCTCACTTCAGGTGTCTGGTCCCCACACCCACTTGGAGCGTGAGCTTAGGGCTGGGTCCCCGAGAAGCCGGACAGACCCTGGGTGATGTTATACCCAGCAACATGGGACAAGGCCCCCAGGCTATAGAGCTCCTTGCTTTTCTTACACACCAAAGGGACACAAACTGCCCGGCTGCTGCCTGCTCTTCCAGTGTGGCCTAGGAGAAGTTTAAGGAGAGCAAAGGCAGCAGGGGAGACAGGATTAGTTGCAGCGAGCGTCACGTCACAGCAGAAATCTGTGCAGCTGCAGGGGAAACTTCAAGGCCTCAGAGGGCCTACCTGTGACAGGACCCACTCTGGAGAGGAACAGAGAACAAGGTCACCTGGCTACCCCGGGGTCAATGTGCAGGAAGGTGCTTGCCCCTTGGAGGGCATCTACACAGAACAGGGGTGAACCACTTTCCAAAGAGCTTCTCCACCTGACAACACAGGTCTCTGCTTTTCTAGTGCTTATTAGGCTGGCCAATCCAGGAGCCAGGACTCCAGCCTGGCAGAGGGAGGTCTGGAGACTTCTCTTTCCCTGTAGGAACCTCTCCTGACGGCAGCTGTTTCCTCCATCAAGTGTGGCTTCCCCAACCCTCAGAGTGCGCAGGGCACAGGCATGAGGCGGAGGTGGGCGGTGCATCTTGGGTATGTGGCCCGAGCCCTCACGTGAGGACCGAAGCAGGGTGGGAGCTCTGTGTACGGTTACTGCTGCCAACCCCCGCAGGTTTGTTTGTATTCTCACTCTGGGCATGACCTCCACGCCCTTCCCGTGCCCGTCAATTTACCACTTTATCAAAACCAGCACTGCTCAACAGGCTTCCAAACCATAACCTTGAACAGATTAAATAAACTCTTACTTCCAATTAAAATAGGCCCCTACCAATCTGACCTCAAAACAACACACCTTTGTGTGCTCACAGATGTGCAAGGACGTCTCCTACAAGCTCCTGAAAGTTCCCCAAGACTGTGGTTGGGGACAAGGCCAACTTGTGGGCCCTATGTGACTGGGACCACAGGAAAACCAACCCCTTTCTTCCCCAGAGAAGCAGAGAAGTGCAGTTAGCATGACCTCACGACGTGCCGCAGAGAGGAAACCAGAGCTTGTGTGTGAATTTATGAAACAAACGGACACTGTGCAGCTGACAGGTCCGACTGCACATTTAACTAAATGCCATCTACCTTACTGCGACACTGTAGGACAAAGCACCGTACACCCTTCTAGCATTTACGTAATTTCTGCTCAAAGCAATCTCTCGTGTACTCAGGAGACAGGGTGGAAGGGCAGCCGCCTGCAAGCTGAGACACGTTTCCCGCACACAGAAACTCATAGCTGCTGGGAGCATGTTAAAAGAAAAACAATTTGGCACGTATTTTGTTCCACACAAATATTCAAGCCAGTGATTTACAAGAGTTACTGGCTTTGTTGTTCAAGACAATTAACATTATCTTTCGGGAGCAAAGGTATCACAGGACATGGGAGGTAGTTTGATTTGTGAATTTTCTGTATGTTTCTTCTGCTTAAGAATACTCGCTCAGGCTTTCACTGGAGAATGGGAGAAAGAAACCTGGGGAGGATGGGGCTGAAATCAAGCACCTGCAATGCACCACAGAGAACTATCATGAACTTAACAGTCCTTTCCCCATTCAAACACAAGAATCAGGAATTGGTCATCTGTAAGTGGGTGGGGGGACAACGAAACTTGGGCTGACTTTCCCAAGGCAACACAGCTATAAAACAGAAAAACAAGATTACAGTGAGGAATTAGTTTGTTATCTTGCTTTTTTTTCCCCCTTTGCAGTACTGGCAGATGGAACCCAGGGCCTTCAGAGTGAGCTATCTCCTTAGCCCTTATTTTAATTTTGAGACAGGGTCTTGCTAAGTTGCTATGCTGCCCTGGCTTGGGAACAAAAGAACCTGCAATCCTCCTGCCTCAGCTTCCCACAACACTGGGATCACAGATGTATGCCACCACGCCCAGTTTATGCTAACTGTATTTCTGATAATGGTTATTTCCTTTAAAAAGTTTATTTGCACATCTGCTTTTTCCTAGGCTAAGCCTATTTCGGGGGAAGTCTGTCAAGACTCCAAACAAAAGATTATTGTATTTGATGAATTTGGTTAGGTCTTTCTAAGTAATGGCCTGATAAAAAAAAATTAACTGGTCACATAGCAGGCATCTTGAGTTTTTCTGCTCTGCCTCCCTGAATGAACGAAGCCCATGGAGGCCACAATAAATAGATACAGGAGGCAAGGCCAGCCAAGTGATCATGAGCCCTCATCCTGGGGGGCGCCCTTCTGAACAGCAACAGCACAGATGTGCTAAGTCGGTGGCCTAAGTGTGAAATGAGACAGCTAGCAGGAAACTGGACAAAGGCGGGATCCCAAACATCTGAGGGCTCAGGGCTGGACAAGTGGGAGATGCTGGCTGGGAAATTCTTAAGACAAATGGATTGCGGGGGCAATGGCCACCTTGAACCTGAAGACAGACAAAAACGCAGCTGGTAGGCAGCAATAAGCCAAACTACTTCTGGCTACAAACTGTATTCCTAACCCTGTCTGGGAAACCATCCATGGAACACTGAGAACTCTGCAGCACACAGGGGGGTCCACCTCCTATAGCACAGGCTCTGCGGCCTGGGATGTCACTGCCCCTGATGGTCACGGGCAGGTAGGTTGCTCTGTGGGCACCAGCAGGTGAGACCTGGTTCTGCAGCCAGTGAGGCCGAGCTTCCTCTGCATACGCCAAACTGGAGGATGCCTCAGAGTAACCTGGAAGGCTTGGAATGCCAGACACCTGGGCCTCACCTTCGGAGATTCCGAGTTGTATACCAGGTCTGGGGCAGGACCCAAGAATATCTAACCATTTCTCAGTTGACAATAATGCTGCTGGTCTGGGGCCCACACTTAGACAACTGCAAAATTAGCTATGCATCAGGTAATGCTAAGCAAAAAGATCCTAAGCCAACTACCCCACCCTACCTGAGAGAGTTCTATCAACTAAGCAAGGTGGAAGGTTCCAGAAAGCCTTTAGGATATCTCAAAGTAAGCCCTTGGTAAAACTTTATCAATTTGACTTCTACCTCTTTGGAAATGGTGATCATATATGATACAGGGTCCCAATTATCACTAAGGCTCTTAATGATGAAAAGGATCAGGTCATGGCAAATGTGTAGCTAATCACACCTGAGGCTTCTGGAAGGCCTCGATCACCAGAATGGGCTCCAGTGTTCTGTGTGAAGCAAGCTCTCCTGGAGGGTCTCAGGCATCCAGACAAAAACACGGCTACAGGAATCTCCAAGATCTGCTGGCAGACTGCAGCAGGGGACTGCTTGGTGACTTTAGTGTGATGGATAACACCACTTAGCAAATGTAAAGTGATGATTCTATGTCAGCCTTTTATTTTATTTATTTGTATATATTTTTTGGTACTGGGAGTCAAACTTAGGACTTCATGCTTGCCAGACAGGCACTGTGCCACTTTTATACACTGGTGTTTGACAAAGAGATATTAAACTGTTCACTGGGGCAAAAGGTAAAGACTGTCAGGTAGTAGGTCTTAGAACTCAGTCTTTAACCAATAAACCTTTGGCCATTTATTCTAGCTTCTATTACATTGTAGGTGTTCAATAAATACTTGCTGAGTGAACGGATGGGTGGATAAAACAACAAGATGAAGAAGTAGAAGGTGCACAGGCAATTTGCTCTATACTGTGGGTAGAGGACCTGGACCTGGTCTGGGTTCTTATCTGAGTCATGTGACATGAGGCGGTGCCGGAGACCTTCCAGTGCCAGTTCCTTGACAAAGTCAGGACTGGCAGCGGGTACCTGCAAAGCAGGGACCACATGGGATGGGTATGCTAAAACTGCACCAGTACTACCAATCTTTAAAATATGTCTATATATACACAGAACTATGTAAATGTGTGTATACATATCTTTGCCTTCCATATCTGTCAGTTTTATTGGAGTTAACCAAATATAACTCAAAAACATTTGAGAAAAGAAAAAAATGTATCTGTTTTGAACATGTACATATTTTTTTCTTATCATTATTGCCTAAACTGTAAACTATAACTACTTACATAGCATTTATAGTATATTACCTATTACAAATATCTGCCGATGAATTGAAGTATAAGGGAGGATATACTTAGGTAATATGCAAATACGACACCTTCTTATATGGGGACTTGGGTACAAATAGACACTGGTTTCCGCAAGGGGGCCTGGACCAGCCCAGGATGCCCAGGATACCCAGGAATGACTGTGCACCTCTGCTTCTATATAAAACATCCTCATAGGGGAAGCCACGGTTCTGGCTATCACGGACTGTCAGAGCTGACATTCTTCTGGTCCTCAGCATCTCACCTCTGGATAACTATCTGCCTCGGTTTCAGTGGTGATCATGGATAAAGCTGGTGCGTGGATGGTGGAGAAGAGACTGCAGCTTGGCATTCATTTGTTCAATCCTTAAGAACATGCGGTGGCTGGTGACCAGGGCATCATCCCAGCAGGGGCTTCTGTGGGACACTGTGTGCCTGTCCTCATTTTCTCTCCTTCCCACACATGCCCTGAGCTCGCCCTCAGTTACGTGAGCCACTGGCAGCATTTCCGCAGCAGCTCCCTCCCTCATACCCATGGCCCTTGTCCCCAGCCCTGGCCTCCGAGTCCTCAATCTGTGGATCTCCGCATGCTCCTCTGAATCACCGCAGGCCCCACCTCTCACCCTGCATCCTCCTGGCCCCCTCCACTCCCCAGGCTCCCATGAAGCCCTTGGGTCTCCAGCCACTAGATCCCCCCTCTGATGGCTTCAGTGTCTGGAAATCACACATCCCCAAGTGAACCCCACGAGTCCCTCTTCACCTGTACTTCAGTGAGCCAGAAGCCAACTCCTCCTCCTCCTTTACCAGCCCCCGAACACCTGCTCAATTGCAGCGGCTTATTTAATTGGGCACCTAAACACTTGTCAGTTCATCCATGGCTCTGCTGCCACCACCCCCTGAGCAGCCCTGTCACCTCCCAGCTCAGCCTACGTCACACATCAGCTCCCTTCCCAGCACTTCCTAAGGCAGCCAGTTCGAAGTTCCTAAAGACAAAAGGAGACCACGGTCCCCATCTCATCCCCTGTACCTTCTGGCCCCCACTGACACCCCGCCCTACTCACTCCCGACACCGAGGCCTTGAGGTCCCCACCAGGCCGTTCTGTCTCGCTTCCCCTGCACTTTTCAGTCCCTTTCTTCTGTGCCATCTGGAACACTCCATCAGACCTCTCTATCCGCCATCCAGAAAACCTTCCCGGACCCCAAATCTGGGATTCTGTGGCCCGTTATGGTTGCACACAGGGAGAATGGTGGGGACTGGAAGGGAGGCCCAAAACCCAGGAACTGGCAGGGGGAGGAGAGGTGTGGGGCGGCTCCTTCCCCAGTGCCTCCAGAAGGGCCCTGCCTGCACTCGGACTTCAGAGTTCAGCCTCTAGAACTACAAGGCACTGACACTGCGCTGCTTTGTGATGCCAGCCCTAGCAAACGGCCACCCGGCCCCGTGTTCTCAAGGCTGTCTGCAAGTCCCCCTGAACTCAGCCTACCACCTGGCTAATATATCTGTTCCAAGTCACGGCTGTGGCCTAGGGCCCACTCCCTCCCCCTCTGCAAGATGTGCATGCTGAAGACTGGGTCAGGAAACGGGGGCCCCTCCTAGCCAGACCACTAGGCCTCCTCCCACCCTGCACCGAGACGCCCCCTGCCCCCGGACACTCACAGAGATGATGTGGCCCTTGAGGCCATGGGCAGAGTCTGCGCACTCTATCACCGCACTCAGCTGGGGGTAGCCCACCCCGGTCTTGGTGCGGGTGGTACACACGGAACCTGCAGAATAAGGGGGACCCCAAGGAGAAGTCAGGCGTGAGCAGAACTTGACATAGCACAAGCCCCCACCATCACTTTCATGTAGCCTGCCCTAGTGACAGCAGTGAACTTTCCAGGGCAGAGGACATGCGATGTGCTTGGGGGGGGTGGAACCGCTGGCCATGAGGACTGGGTCCTCATCGCTGTCCTCAGGTGATGTCCCGGATGTGGCTCCTCCCCCCCCACTGACCCCATCTCTGTCACTCTCCCCTGTGGCACTGGCTCCCCCATAAAATATTCAAAGCCCCTTTCCCTCCCTCTGCCCTCACACTCCCACCATCTGCACTACATCCAGGGACCTCACAGCATCTGCCTGCAGCTCCTCACAGCTTCTGTGCCTTCACCGTTTCCCCAGTGACAAACCTCTGCAAGCCCACCGCCTCTCCTCCAGTGAGACACAAAACCAAGCACCTTACAGAGGTCATATGTCCTTACAGCGAAAAACGGCCAGGCCCTCAGCAAAGGGAGAGGAGCTCTGGACACCTATGCCCTCCCTCTGTCCTCAACAGGACAGGCGACCTGTCCTTCTCAATCCTGCAGTCCGTCTCCCTCGTGGCCTGCAATGAGTCCCCGTGTAGCCCAAACCCTGAGGTCAGCGCCTACACCTGCTCCTGTCTCAGCCCCATTCCTTTTCCACTGTTCGGCCCTGCTCTGGCTGGGTCCTCCAGCGGGGAGCAGAGGCTTCCTTAACATATGTTACCCACTCCCCTTCAAATCTCGCCACGCCCCCTAGAAAGTGAGCACCCCTCCCCACGCTTTACCAAATCTGCTAGATCAAAGAGCACCTGCAACTCTCTCTCGCTTCTCAACTCTCTGCTGCTGACCATTGACTTTTCAGTCCCTCCAAAGGGGCAGGCTTCTCCCCACCTCAGAGGTTCTCTGGACCCGCTATTCTTTCTCTAAACACTCTGACCTCTGTATCAGCCCGCCTCAGCCAGCCAACCCTTTCTCATCTTTCAGGCTTTGTCCTCAGACATTGCTGCCCCAAGGAAAAGCATTTCTCTATGGCAGATGCACCGGCATAATATTTGTGTAAGGACGCTGAGGCTGCTCTCTCTGCTGGACGGTAAGCTCCATGGATATCCACACTGCTGTCTAGCAGGAGGGAGGAAAAACCCAGTGCCTAATAAGGCCTCTATAAATAGTCACTCAAAGAATGCGTGGCCTCAAGAATGAATGAGTCACCTGCATCCCACATCCCGGCTGTGTCTCCTGCTCTGCCACTGGCTCGCGACTCCTGGATGTCTTGTGTCCATTACGGAGTGCCCTGGGTCCAAGCTAAAGGCAGACCAGCCTTATTCGGTACTCTTGTTCCAAATGTTATTAATGCCTTGAGTGGTAACATGAAAACCACTCTTATGCACGGGAGTTTAAAGTCTCCTGTGTATTAAAAGCTTGGCTATTTTGTGAGCATACAGGGCTAGGCTTCATATACACTCTAGTCCCCTGAGGATGACAGCAGTGCTAAGTCACAGCCCGAGGGGTCCTGGGCCGCAGCCTTCTCTCATCCACCCACTCCGCTCACTGTGTTACAGGCTGCTTCCTTTTCTGACAGTGTCTTTTGGCTGGGAAGTATTTATACAAATACTTGTTGCTTTTTAGTCCCAAATGAAAATGTGCATCTTCTTTCCTCTTCTTTGTAGTGTGTGATTAATGATGAACGCACAAGGCAGAATTTTAAAACGTGACAGTGAGGTCAACCGCGAGTACAGCAGAGAAAATGGTGCCAGGCAGTGTAAAATCAGAAGGGCTCTACCTCCCTCCTTCAGAGGTGGGCCCAGAGGAGAAAGCCTGAGGAGAGGAGATGAGCAAAATTTTGACTGACAGGTCCAGGTGAGGAGCCAACAGCGGTAACTTTCTGGGCCACAGGTCAAGTTCAAACATGGCCTGCCAGCCACAAGGCTGTTTGCAATGTTTTGGATCCTTCAAACATTAATAGAAATTTCAGCCATCATTGTCCATTAGCTGCCCTCATGGATTCATCACCTTTCACCTGCTCTTCAAGGTGTCTGGACTGTTAATAACATCTGCATTCTTTTCTTCCACATTTGTGTTTTGAAATCAAGATCTCATATTCCAGCAACCTGCAACCACATTTGGAAGGTGCATGGGGACATGAGGAAGCAGCTGAATGCCATCTCTTTCTCGGGAGCTTTGTCTGGAAGCTCAGTGATTCATTCAGAAAAAAATGTGTTTTGAATTCATGGATGAGTCATTCCTGCATTCCCTTCCCGCCACAGCCAGTGTCCCCAGCCCCAGGTCCCGTTCCTCCCCACAGACAACTCTGCTGTCTCCCAACAGGTCTTACCCGGCCCAACTCCCACTTTGATGATATCTGCTCCGGAAAGAATAAGCTCTTCCACCATCTCTCCCGTCACCACATTTCCTGCCTGAGAAAGAAAGAATACAGCTTGTGACTCGGGACAACTCCCGGGAGTCTGAAGGTGAGTGAGGATCTCCACACCCAAACCCAAGGATTTGCATGTCCAGAAGCCACCAGGCCACCAGGGGACAAAAAGAAAAAAGAAAACACTGGATGCGATTCTTGGAGTCTATTTACGTCTGAAGATGGTGGACCCAAGTGTTCCCCTGGCCGCCTTCCTTCTCTAGGGAACAAAACACGGACTTGTGGAGACACCTGGAGACCACTTTTGGGAAAACTGACTGCGTGAACTGATGGCATGAGAAGGTACAGAATTAGGTAATTTTAGAACAAGAAGAGACCGGGGAAGGTTTACGGGAGGGCTTTTTCAACGTCTCAGCAACTGACCAAACAAAATCTTCCAGGGAATCTAAGCAACGAAACACGCTCAACTGATCAAAAATCCTTACTGCTGGGCATAAAAGGCTTCAGAGTTTGAAAGACCCCTGAAGAATCTCTATGAATCCAGAGGCAGCATCAGAAAACTCCTGATCACCTCACAGTTGAGAACACCACCAAAGCTTCCCCCACCCCCAGGGTGGGGATTCCATTAGATAGGCCAGGGCAGACAGGCCCCGGGGACCACAGGCCATGGGCTCCTGCTGGACTTACAGGACAGGAAGCTTTGGCCCTGAGAAGAAACACAGAAAGCCAGCAAGTGGCAGAATCCATCAACCAGAAGAATGCATCTGGTTTGGAAATAGTACAAGTTCTTTCACTGTAGGAGTCTGGGAGCGCAAAAATTGCCCTTTTTATTACAACTCGCTGCCCGCGGATTCTTCAGCTGGTACATAGGATACTTGGCAAGGTGCCCTGTCTGAGTTCCCACAACTGTGCAAAGTCATATTCTGCAAAATGCATTCCGACTCATTCTACATGCATTGAAGCCAAGTGTCTTTTCACTGAGCTGATTCCCAGAGAGGAGCTTTCTTTTTTTAACCTAGACAAACTGACTTCTACTTCCCATAAAAGGCTGCTGGAAAAGGTGATGAGGCGGAGCAAAGCCACTATCATGCAAATACCAGCTGACAAAGGACCGTGGCAGGAGGCCCAGAAGGAGGATTAGAGGTGGGTTAGAATTGAAGTAAAAGTTCTAGGCCCCCACATTCAGAGGAAAACTTTGAATACTTGTAATGGCATAAAAGTAAAACAACAAAAAAAGAAAAGCTTTCTACATAAAAATGAAACACACACACAAACACACAGGCTCATAAAATCAACGAAGGTCCTGGTAAAGAAAAATGTGTACAACTGTGACAAAGGGTTCAGGTCACAAAAATTCTTGGAAATTTATAAGACAAACTCAACCCCTCACAACATAAGCATCCAAGGACATGATCAAACTAATAAAAGTGGCTAATTAAAAAGAGGGAATGTGTTTAGCTTCGCTAATAATTAAATTTAAAATACCAATGTGGTACCACTTTTCACTTAACAAATTATTATTGCTGTAAACACTAAATGCTAAAGAGAAAACATCAGACTCCACCAGCTCAATGTCTATTTTAGGACCAGTTTTTCTAGAAAGCGATTTGTCCATATAGAAGAAATGCAAAAATATGCACATCCTTTGATCTAATAATTCTGAGATTCCCAAGGATATCATTATAAATGAGACCAGATTTAACTATAAAGATGTATCACTTTTAACAGTACAAAATCGCCAATATAATCCCAAAATAGACATGGTTCCACAATTTTAAAAATTATGTAGGGGCTTTTTGGGGGGGGTTGTTTTCTGTTTTATGTGTGTGTTGCCAAAGATTGAATCGATAGCTTCACACATGCAAAGCTACTGAACTGATAGCTTGGGTGAGCTACACCCCAGCTCCATGTGATGTTTTTTTAGAGAAGTTTAATGGTGTGGGAAATGCTTAAATATTTTCAGTATAATTCCAGGAGAAATAAGATCTCAATCTTGTTTAGTGTGTGTGTGAGAGAGAGGATGAGAATGAATCAACAAGTCACATGTGATGCGTGACTATAACCTCAGTGACTCAGGAAGCTAAGCAGGCAGATCAAAGTTTGAGACCAACCTGGGCAACTTAGCAAGATCCTTATCTCAAAATTAAAAACAAGTATGGAGTCATAGCTCAGTGGCACAAATCCTTGGGTGCAGTCCCTAACACTGCAAAAAAAAAAACGAAAGGAGGGAGGAAAGGAACGAAAGGCTAACAAGTTGTATTTAAGTAGAGGAATTATCTAACTTCTATTGATTTTCTTCTTTTAAACTTTTCTGGCTTTTACAGTAGAAAGTATATGCTCTTATAATTAGGTTGGTGAGGCTTTGGTTTTGGGTTTGGTTTGGGTTTTGTGGTATAAGGAACAGGACAAACTCTGGTTCGTTTTTTGTTCTTTGTTTTTGTTTTTTTTGTTTTTGTTTTTTTGCAGTACTGGGGATCGAACTCACGACCTTGCACTTGCCAGGCAGGCGTTTATGCCACTGAGCTATATCCCCAGCCCCCCAGGACGAACTCTGTACTTAAGAAAGAATAAAGGCCAGAGAAACATCAGAGCTCACACTCTTCTTCCACACTGGTTCACCCGCTTAAAAAAAGAAGAAATCAACAAAACAAAGCTTAACTCTAAATCCTCCACAACTGCATTGTCAAGATGGAGTTCTTTTCTCCCTATCTAGTACTACTTACAAACTGGTTCACGTTCAGTGATGTATCCGAGACAAGGTAAGCCAACTCTTGCAAATGGGAAGAGGACGAAGCGGTGGGGGTGGGGGGTAAAACAACATGTTACATATAATATACATGGACCAACTCCCATGATGAATGTAATCAGTATGTACTGCAAACATGCACCAAGAAAATTTTAAAATTTAAAATTGTGAGCCAAAATATTAGATCTATGAGGGTTTTTTTTTTTTTTTTCTTTAAAAAAAAAGTCAAACTCCAGGGGTTATCCCAGGTACAACCACAGGGACAGGGTGGTTTACCATTCCCAGAGCCCAAGAGCCTTCTCAGATGTGTCCTCTCCCCTCAGCCACCCCCACGGCTCCAGCGTCTTGCTCACCACACGGTCACTGAGGCCCAGTGGAAACACCTGGGGCGAGTGCGTGGGAAAGGCCTCCAGCCCGACCCACAGCACAGCATGGGAGCACTAGGGACCAGGCATCCCTGCTGAGAACAGCAAAAAACTGTCTATTCACATTTGAAACCAAGAGAACCAGAATCAGGGACAAGAGCACAAGGCCAAGTCAGAAGTGAGAACAAGGGCCCGGTACACGCAAGTTTTGATGAGCTCCCCAGTCCCGCAGAGACAGCTGCTCCTGAGTGGAGGAGCTGGGCAGGCATGAGGAGGTAGGAGCTGCTTTGTGTCACCTTGAAGCACCCTGTGGAGGGAGTGGACACAGCACAGCAGGAACGTGTCCCCACAGCACCACAGCTGGCTTGGTCACTTGGGCGGTTAAGCCACATTCACTCCTGGGCAGCCATGACACAGAAGCAGGTGGTGGGGCTCCCCGGTGTCCCCTGTTCCCCGGAAGGCCAGGCACCATCTACACTCACCTCCTCTGGGTGGCAACAAGTGCTCCCTCCCCCTGCCAAGGAGCTGCAGGAACACGGGAGGGAAAGACACAGCAGGTGACAACAGCTGCTATGGTCTGACTGTCTGTGTCCCCCAAAATTCACCCCCAAGGGTGAGGACAGTAGAAGGTGGGGCCTTCAAAGGTGATTAGGTTATGGGGACAGAACTCTCCAGAATGGGATGTCCTCCCACGTGAGGATGCAGTGAAATACAGCCGGCTCTGAAAGGGGGACAAGCTCTCAGACACCAAACCTGCCTCATTTTAGACTTTAGCCTCCAGAACCAGGGGAGGAAATAAACGGGATTTTTATAAGCGGCCTGTTTATGGTGTCTTGTTACAGTTACCCAAACAGACTAGGTTAAAGTCCTCTGAGCAAAACCCACCATCCATTGGCCCCAATTTTCTCAGCTTCCCTTTGCACCTACACCTATGGCAAACAAAACTCAGGAAAGCCTGAGGTTGAATGGTGGGCCTCCCTCTTACGGGGAGTCCTGAGCAAGTCACACTCGGTCTGAGTCTCGGTTTAGGCTACTACAAAACCGGGTGCCTAAGACTGCCCACCTGTGGACATTATGAGGTTTACAAAGAAAACTATCAAATTCTGAGCACAGTGCGTGGTGCTTGATGGTGCTCTGTAAAATACTAATCCTACCATTTAAGAGTGATTTGTGTCTATTGCGCTTCTTCGCACTTCTTTCAGAGTTTTTCTTCTTGGGGTCAAAGTGACATAACATAAAATCTACTGTTCTAACTATTTTTAAGCGTACAGGTCAGCGGCACTAACCTACACTCACACTGTTGTGTAACCATCAGTGTTACCCATATCCAGACGTTTTGCATCACTGCAGTTGATCATTCATCCAGCCACTTTCCCCTGGCTCCTTGGGGCCCCATGCCAAGGAAAAACCTTTCCATAGAATGATCAAAGGCAGGGGTGGCATGCAGGTAACAGCATGCTGGCTTGCCAACTCCCATGTAACTGACGGGTACAGAGCCCAGGACCTCCTCCAAAGTCCACCAAAGATGTCGTTCTTCCCACTGGTGGAACTGTGGATATTGTCAATGCCATCGTGCTGGTCACCAAACAGTAGAGTTTAGTATGTGGCTCCAGTGATAAACATCACCTGAGTCTCGAGGGCCCTAGCAGCTTTCAGCCACAGCTGAAACTGTAAGCCACAAAAAACCTTCTCTGCTTTAATCTATGAATGGCAGGTATTCTGTCTTAGCAATGGAAAGATGACTAATACAGTACCCAAGGGGGAGGGAGAGAAGGAAGGGGTGAAAAAAGAAAGTGAGATGGGTTATGCACATCTCCAATTTCCCACAGGGAAGGTAAACATATGTACTACACACATGTACTAAGAAAGTAAACTAAAATTTAAAAATTAAAATTAAAAAAAAATCAGGCAATTAGGATTTGTTACACTATC